ATTTTTACCCAATACAGTCAAAAGTTTTCATAATTCATTCTAACCAATCACCAACACTGTTAAAATGATCCATCAATACATCAAAAAGAATATCCCATGGTTTCTCCCACGAGCTGGTTAATTTTCGAATATCAAAGAATTATATTGGTTGAATATATTTTATCAGCCTCGAACATGTGCTGATATTTTTGAAGTAATATCTAATTATGACGATTTGTAAAGGTCGCCGATTACTCTGAAATAATCGTAACCATAGTTTTTATGAAAATCTTTAGAAATAATAGGGACTTAACCAAATCCTGTTGCATCCGATTTCTTTCATACCATTCGTCTTGCCATTATTACATGTCATGAATTTCCATACAGCTGAACCGATACTATTGTCTTCGATGGAAAGGGGTAATGTTACACTAGGTTAAAGCCGCGAATAGACGAGGTACGATGACCGGTTCGGTGTAGAAGAAGAAAATGGGAGAAGTGAACACACGAGGTACGGGTCCGGACAGGGTGTGGACACGATTCCTTTCTTATATTTAATACTGTCTCTATAATCTCGCACCAGACACCGTACCTCGTCTATTCGCACCTTTAATGAAGCAGATGTTTCGGTCCAGCTGCTTGCTTGTCTTTTACACCATTCTTATCTCTGGGTCTTAATCCGTTATTAACCTCTAATATAATGTTAACTCTGATTTATTTCTGTGATATTTTCAAGTTAACCTGTTTTCCCCATTAAGATCAGGTTTTAGATCAGTGACTCTATTCAAGCGTCAGTTATTAACTTCCGGTGAAGCACACATTACGTGACACTTTTAAATGGTAAACATCCAATGAAATCGATTCTTCGCTGTTCAAAGACGAGCATGAACTCTGGGGATGGGGTGGTTGTTGTTTTGGTGGTGTTAGGGAGAATGAGCCCCCTTCCCTGCCACTTGTTGTAAAGACCCACCTGCTAATTATGCAGTCTTGTGGATACATTGTTTTTGTTGGCAAGTGCAGGCTCCACATTCTCAAAACGATCTTAGCACTAGTATAGGACATCCTAAGGTCTTATATTTTACATTTCTAGTATACTAGCGCTAAGATCATTTCTAGAATACGTAACCAGATCTTTAACTAACAGAATACCTGCTGTTTTGAAGGAAGTTATTCGATATCTATTAGATCTTTCAAGTTAAATTGAAATGTAGAATGACATGATTTTACTGTTAGACTACTGAAGTGATTATAATACGTTTCCCTTGCTTCGTTGAGCAAATTTTATATTTTATTTTTATGTTATCAGATAAAAATAAGAAATTCATTGATTAATATAAATCTTATTAGCTCAAGAAAAAGTCCCCTTAAATTGCAATTCTATATCAGTCTCAATCAATCTGCTACAAATGCATGACCCAATACAAGCTTCTTATAAAATCTACGAGTTTGGTACATTTCTCTCCTATTACTTCATGGAGATATTACAACGCTCGTCTAACGACATTCTCGATTCCCTGACGATCTCAGCGATGGTGATTGGTGACATCGTACGATGATATCTAACGCTTCTTTCACGCTAATACCACGCTTATGACGTCCTGAACACGCTCTGAGCTTATTTTCAGTGACCGTTGCAGCTCAGTAACGACGCCTTTCCGAAGTAACAGTGCTATAAGACATTGCTTTATCTAGTATGAGTTATAAGCAATCTGAATCTACGATAGCATTGAAGTTTTAATTCCAAAGATACTAAAGACAAAAGCGGAAAACTACTTCCAAAGTCCTTGAAATTATATGATTTATAGAGTCTCTTGCAATAAAAAAACACAAGACCAAAGTCTTCGAGATCTCTTCAGAATAACGTCAAAGGCGAAGACCTACTTGTTATGTTTTGTGTTTATTTGACGGACCATGAAAGTTCCTTAAATCAATTCCTTTTCTGATAATTCCAACAAATACTTTTTGTTTTCATCTTTTATTGTTTTTTTCTTTCTTGTCATCTTAGTTGTACAAAATCATTAAATCTTTATAGATAGTCTAGGATCGCCTGGTTGAACATACTTACGATTTCAACATTTTGTTATCATATTGCTTACGACCTCCATTGTAATCTAACGAAATTTATACCACGATCATGTTCTGGTGGTGACACAAAAAGCTATTTATAGCAGTTAATCAGAATCACATTTAGTATCGGGAGTCTCATTACTCAATAGACATATCGCTCTACTTTGGGTTTCACTTTCCGACAATTCAAAGTCCATATTCAGACACGGATTTTGCATGAAGCGCTGCGATTGGATGAAATGAATGTCAGCAGTATGCAACCTTGATATAAATCTTTGTAGATTACAATGGAGATCTGAAACAAAATAACGGAGCGAAATTGTAATCTTAATTTTTATAAATTGTGTTATTCATATTTATACGCTTAGATAAGCAAGAGGTGTTCTGCCATGAGAGAAATCCTATCTTTTATGTTCTGAAACCAACAATGTTTTGTACGAAATTCTGCTCTCCTTGCCCAAACAAATTGGTCATCCACCTGACTGAAAGTCTACAAAACAATTGAATACGTCTTTGATTCTAGATCTAGCGAAGTTTATAACATAGACGTGTTCAATATTCAACCAATCTCATATGTATATTTGGATGGAATTCGAACAAAACTGGTCCCCTTAGCCATACACAATATGTTCATTTTTTAAAGGCATGTGTAAAAGTGTTAATCAAAATTAAAAAGAATTAGAGTAGAGGCCTAAGTTTTCAATCGATTGACGACAATATCAACTTTACGTTCTGATTTCAGCTTCAAGACAATGTGGTAATAGGTAATCGCTGATTGCTGAACGGAAATTATCAGTTTAAACTTGATTATAGATCAAAAAACCAATATTTTTAAGTTTAACGTCGAGAAGAAAATACATCTTTGACAAAGAAAATAATAATTTTGATGTTTAGTTACCACCATATATAGTATCGTCAGCTCGGGGCTGTTACTATGTTACTATATATTATTGTATTATTTTATTGTATAGATTCCATTCAATCGATTGTTTGAACGACCTTGGTGCTGTTTGTGTAATAGCACCGTATACCAGGTTCGGCAGGCAATACAACCCTATTAAAGGGACATAGTCGGTTAAATATCTTTGAAGTAAATTAAAAGATGGTGACAGTGGCGTTTCTTTATATCATAAAGTGGGGGCCACAGAATTGTCAAGTAGGACCGATATCACCAAGATCTCAATGATGAAAAATTTGAAACTGGGTGGTAGGGGGCAAAGCCGGGCCAGTCTCATTTCTGGAGGAGCAACCCCCCCCCCCCCCCA